GAGTGGCTGGAATTCCTTTGTGTTGCTCTTCAGGTGCTCTCCTGCTGACTTGTGATCCTTCTCCAGGCTCTGGGCATCTATTGCTGGCACTGGTATCAAACTGGTAGGAGTGGTATGGATTGAGGTTCCCCTCCCACAGCAGCTTTAGTTTAAAGCCATCTTCACCAGCTTGGCAAGTGTATGACCAAAGATGCTCCTCCCCTTCTCTGACAGATGGACCCCATCAGCCCCCAGTAGATCACGTTTCTCAAAGCAAATCCCATGGTCTAAGCAGCTGAAGCTCTAGCTGCGGCACCCATCCTGTAACCATGTGTTGATTCTCCAGATTCAACCAACCCTTTCAAACCCCCTTTGACTGGGAGGATTGATGAAAAAACTACCTGTGCTCCAGAGTCCCTTACCACTGCTCTCAGGGCTCTGTAATCCTTCTCGATAGTCCTCAGACTGCTCCTGGCTGTGTCACTGGTGCCCACATGAAACAACAGCAGCGGATAATCAGTGGACTCTACGAGGCTTGGTAACCTCTTGGAGACATCCCTGATAGGAGCTCCCGGTAAGCAGCACACCTCCCTGGAGGTGTCAGGTCGGCAAATGGGTGCCTCCGTCCCTCTCAGATGAGAGTCACCTACTACTATCAACCCGTCACCTTTTCTTACTTGCACTAGTTGTTATACAGGGCTGTTGTAAGTGGTGTGGGCAGGGAGTGCTGTGGCTTTGACTCCCCGCAGGGGTAGCACAGCTTTGTGGCCATCCCTCTCCTGTAACGCAAACTACACCGAGACTCCAATACTTGTATCAGCTCTGCTCTGCTTTGCCTGCTGCCACTTAAACTGCCCCGCTAGCTTTTCAAAGGCTTTAAATCCCTTCACAAATCAGCCTGGTTCTCTCCACCTAAAAGGATGCAGATCCATGTTGGGGGTTTTCCTAGCGGTCAGTCCCTCTCATTCAGCACTGTGCTGTTACAGGAGTGTTAGAAGAAGGACTACAGGAGAAGAGAGCTAACAAAAAGGCTGGGAAGACAGGGATGGAGCCATCCTCTCATGCAGAGGTGGGGCACCTCAATCTGAGCCTGATCAAGGTGAAGAGAGGTGAGGAGGCAGAAGAGAAAAAAAGTCATGCAAGGCACCAAGACGAGCACATACATTGTAATTTCTGGAGAGGTGTCAGTGGTGTCAGGACTCCCTTGAGATTGTTTTAAAACACCTGGGTAAGAACTGTAAGGCTGAGTCTATCTCAAACTGAGATAGACCTCCAGCACAGCCCTGCTTGCACTTAGATATCTGTGCCTCAGCTTAGTGCCACACATGTCCCCCACTGGCATCTCTAAGAGCAAGTGTCACCCCTTACAGAGACATTCAGTAACCCTGCTCTGGTGAGGAAATAAACTCTCTCTGATTCTATGCTTGGCTTCATAGTGGCTACCATTTTTTAATAGATTTAAGCTATTTTTACTCACTCTATTTTCTTCAGCTTTTCCATTCTGGAAAACAGGTCCATTACCCTCTTCACCTCCAGATCCCGTATCCGATTGTCCTGCAAGCTGCACACAGATTGATTCTCATTAGTCCCCCATGCCCCCAGAGAATGAGCGGTTGACTTGAGGGTCATTATCACAACACACTCACTTTATTTCCTCAAGCTGGAGGCACTGTGATGAAGCCTGGACCAAGTTAGTCATCCCCTCAGCTGTGATGCTCCCGCCTGTCAACCTGGAAAAAGAAAGAATCATTCAAGCCGAGCAGAAGGAGGACAGCATCCTGAGCAGCACGCGGCAAGCCGGCCTCCGATGTGTGCCTGCACCACACTCCCAGCACACCTACACAGAGGAGGTGGCCTGACTCTGCCACCTGCAACCAACTTCATACTCCTTTTCCATCAGGGCAATGCAATAGTCCTCTTGATACCAGCATAGAACAAGAGCCACATATATCCGTGCTGCTCTGCACAGCACTGCGTTACTCCCTATACAGGCGGCTGCACAGAGCAGATCAGCCTTCAGTGAGCAGATGTAATTAAACTGCAAGATTGAAACAGGACAAACAGGAAGACAGAAGGCTCTGACCTTACAAGCAAAGACTTACTCTAGTTTCTTCAGGCTCCCCATTCCTCGTAAGGTCTTTGAAAGAGCAGCAGCAAAGTCATCACCACATCTCCTACCACGAAAGCTAAAACATGAAAAAAGGGAAAAAACATGAACACAACAAAACCCAAAACAAGCTAGCCCACAGAGCAGGTTAAAACACAATTTAAAAAAAGCACTAAAATTCTTTCTTGTATCACACCATCAAAGCCATTGTATCATGCTTTTTTTTACAGCATCTTTATCTTCTCAAACATCTGGTTAAAAAAAAGAAAAACATTAAACTTGCACATCAACTGCAAATACCTCAAGAAACAGCTTCTGTGCAGTGACACCACAGGCAAGTGCTGCCACAGATGAAAAGTCAGCCCTATTGCATGTCCTGCCAGAGTCAGGACTCTGGAGACCCATTCATGAGACAAGGCCAGGTCACACATGGGCAAACCGAACTCACACTAACAGGGAGCGTCTAACAGCTCCCGTGTGATGAAGTGCTGAGTTACGAGAGGGTTGATTTCAGGCCAGATACTTTAAATTTGAGTGGCACAGTAGTCAGAGTTGTGCAAAATATAAAAGATCCAAGGGCTGAAGGGAAAGTACCTCTTTTCTAGAGGGAACTGGTGGTGTTGGAAACAACAAACAAACAGGTAAGCTTTCAGGCATGCAAGCTCCCCTTTGAATCAATTGCAGGATGTACTGATTATGGGATGTGTTCGTACAAAGCCTCCCAAGTCACATCATTCCCACAGCGCCTTTGGGGGCCACAAGAGCAGAAACCCACCTATGGCCCTGTTGCCCTAAGTGCCTCTGCCACCTTCCCCTAAACCAGAGGAGTCGGGAACAAGCTGCAGAGGTGCAGAGGCATGACAGACATGGCCCATGCCCCAGGAACACACCTGAGGCAATACTTCTTCTTGAGACAGGTTCTGTACAAGCAACATGCAGCTGAAATGCTTGGGGTCCCACCGCCCTTTGCCTGCCATTTCAAGAGACAGTAGAGTGCTTGTATCCTGTGGACCATAACTGAAAGCACGCATGGACTTGAATGCGTATGAGCCAAGAAAGAACCCACAAAAATCCCATTCCATTTTCTTGATACAAGGGAATAGCCCAACCATCCTCAGGCATCTGCCTAATCTGCTCTTTGAAGACAGAGGACTCCATGCACTGCCCTGTGCCTCTCCATTAGCAATTTAGAGTTAGGATGCTTCATCAGAAAGCTTTTCTAACAGTAAATTAAATGGTATTCCTATTCTTCTTAACGGAGGCAGAGAACACTCAACTATAATGATATCAACATCCAGGAATAGCAGTTTTCACGTCTCTGTTTATGCTCCTCTGCTTCACAGCAGACAATGCCATTCCCTTCAGGTCAAGGTAATTCTCGCCCTGGCTGCCCCCCACCTTCTCCACATTAGCAAACTCTACACATATTCCTCCGAGTCATTCATAGTAATACAGAATGAGACCATCCCACAGCAGGATCGCAAGAGATCCTCCTTGAAATGTCCTTCCAGCATTACAGCAAAGCACTGATAGAGAACACCTTAGAGTGCAGTTGTCATCTCCTGTTCATCCAGTTTATGGTGATTTCACTCGTGTCACAACTTTCACATTTACTCAAAGGAAGAACTTACTACCTGCCTTTGTAGTGTTAAGAAATACCTATCATTTTCTCTCTTATCTACTAGACTAACTACCCTGTTGTTTGATTGTTTTAGTCAAAACAAAGAAACACAAAAACCGGCCAGAATGGATTTATCACCTTAATACCCTTGATCATTCATAAATTCATTATTTCATAAATTTCTTCCGTATCAGAGTTATGCTGTTCAGATACTAGGCTTGCCCTTCCAAGCCCTTAGCCCTTCTGTCCACCAACCAGCTCATAACACTCAGTGCATTTACCTCAAGTGCTCTACATTTTTGCAGCTGGACAGAACCTCCAAACAGTCAATGTCCATGAGACATCCTGCAAAATCCAAATGAGTCAGATCCTGGCCTGAGTTTATGACAAAAACCAAAGACGACATGTCCAGAGGTGTCAGTCTAAAGTTTTTAAACTCATACTTGAAATTCAGCTGGCTCCCAATGTGCTGGGCTACTTCGAGGTCTTGTGTTTCAAACGTGCAGTGGCAGAGCTCAATGACCTTAGGCCCTGTCAGATGAGTGGCTGCTAGTTTCTTGAGAGACTGCAGGATTGTGTCCTGCTTATCCTGCACCCAAGCTTCATCTTGTTCAGCCAGCAGCATGACAAATGTCCTACATTCTTTTGATGATAAGCCCGAGAGAAAGATGTGAAAACTCTCCATGAGCTCAGTCTTTGCCTCATTCTTTAAAGTCCACTTTGACTTCAAAGAGAACTTCTTCTTCAGGTAGTTCTTGTCCACCCTCTTGCTTACCATGAGACACAGTGCTGCAAAAAACTCCTGCAAGCTCAAGTGCACAAAGGCATAGCCAGGCTCTGGGCAAGAGCCACTCATCTTCACCTCAAAGACAGTCAGCAATCCATGTAAGGAAGCAAATTGCTTCACATGCTCTGGAACATCACCAACATAAAATACAAGCTTCTTATCTTCCAGGCCTTTCAGTGCAAGATCACACAGACCTAAAATGGCCTTCTTGTTACAGTTCAGCTGAGTCACCTCACCACCTGCACACTCTCCCTGTTGTTTGTTTATGAAGATGAGAAGCATTTTGATATAAAACTGTGTCATAGTCTGAGGAAGCTCCACACTCATCTGATGTTTAAGAAGTAAATACTCCAAACAGATGCACACGACATAACACAGAGCAGGGATGAGGCACATGCTCAGGAGCTTGGTGTTGTTCTTCAGATGAGCAATGGCTTGTTCTTTGAACGAATGCTGATGAAAATACTGGCTGACGTATTCCTCAACCTTCTCATGGTCAAATCCCCAAATTTCTGCTAGCAGATCTACCGTTTTCAATAAGTCGTCAGGTAGTCTCTTAGGTCGGCTGGTGACCAACACTGTGCAACCAGGCAGGAGCTTCCCATGGCAGAGGTCTACAAAGAGCTCAGATATGGACATATGGGTAAGAGTTGGGTCTCCCTTAGAAGAGGATGACACATCCATGTTAGCTGTAAACTCATCCAGCCCATCAAAGATGATCAGTGTATGCCAGGCATTTTCCAGGAGGTACTGGAACAGTGCATCAGGGCTGTCTTCTAGCTGAAGGTATAGGTCAAACAAAAGCTCCTTCAGCGTCAGTTTTCTTTTTAATAAATTCAGCTGCCGAAACTCAAAAAGGAAAGTGAAGAGAAACTGAGGTAGGACACCTTCTGCCCATTTCTGGCAAATCCTGTGCATTAGCATGGTCTTACCTGTACCTGGTTTACCAAACAAAAAGATGACCTTTGTCATGCCCGATGGGATCACACTATGAAACAGATCTGACACTTTCATGGCTGTATCTGCACGTTCTTCTGGTTCAGAAGCACCTGCCATATCCTCTCGGGGTTTATCTGTCTTCTCTTTTAAGCGGGAGGTTTTGCTCTGCCGAATGACAAGGTTGACAAAAGCTTGGTTGAAAGGCAGTGGCTGCATTTGTTCCTGTGCTGCTGCTCCTGCTGCTCTCCTGCTTCCATAGCTCTGGCGGATAGAATTGACAAGGATATGCTGGTACTTTTCAGCTGAATCTGAGAGAGAAGACAACAGAGTGAGTATAAGGGTGAAAAAGGTAGTTATGAGCCATGACAGATCCAAAATACTACCACTTATACAGAGAGAAACAATGGCCCTGATCAGAGATTGCTCCACAGAGCTAGGCAGAGATGACAGATTTTAAACACATTAAAATAACCCTTAATTTTTCCTATTTTCACACAGGAGCCAAAGAAGAAAATTCAGGGAAAAGGTGAAACAGCCTTATATAAAAACTAAACCTTACTATCTCTTTAAGATGAGAATTGGGTATTGGTGTATTACACCCTGTTCACTAGCTCCCCTTTCACCCATGCTGAACTTGCGCCACCCTTGCTCAGCTATCTGCACCTTGGAACAGACATGGCTTTTGCTTTGAGAATCTGAGATCCCTGACAGTATCAGCATCTCTTTGTTGAAGAGAGAATAGTGGTGATAATTAAGGGCGCTCAGCACTTTCTGAACATCCCTATCCTCACTGCTGTTAAATTTGCTGAGTTTTGTCAATGGATGAGATCTGTCCTCCTGGGAGCACCTCCTCAAGAACTTCCCTGTATGCAAACTTTCAGTCAAAAACTGGCTCCAGCCCAGCTGCAGCTGCCAGCTTTGCCATGCTCCCTGTGTTCCCCCACCAGACACTGGGCAGCACTGGACCATGGGGCTAAAGTGCCTAGCTCTGCAAGGCTAAAAAGCAGAGGCAGAAAGGGGTAAAAAAGGGCAGATGTTGAAGGAAAAGATGTGGACACTGGTGTTATACTGGTTGATTTCCTGGGTGCAAAGAAGTTAACTAGGTCCTTCCTCAGAGGAAAGCACAGCATCACTCTGCTTCTGGAACATCTACATACCTAGTCGTTGCTGTTTAACATCCGTATCACTCATGGAGCTGCTGTGATGGCGACGTCGAGCAACTCCTGAAACTCGAAAAGTCAGAAGCATGTCAAAAGAGCATCATGAATGGCAGCTTATTAGAGCTGGGCAAGACTCTCCAGCAAAGCATTTGGGGAGCTGGAGGGGCAAGATCGGAGAGACAAAACATTTTGCAAATTCCACCTGAGTTTACCAAACTGCTTTTGCAAATGTTGAAGTAAAAGCAGAGGTGCATCTAGCTATAGAAACACAGCTTGGGCTGGTCCTCATGAGGCTAATCCATCTTCTTGTCCCACTCCAAATATGCCACAGCTCTCAGGAGCGACCTAAGGGTCTGGACTGGTTTAAAGACCTTCAGTAATGGAGCTCCCTGAACTTCTCCAGGCAATTCATTCCAACACTTCAGTTTATTTATATAGATTTTCCCAGTGGATAACATCAATCTTGCCTACCACTGTGTGATCTGCTACTTCCCTGGTCCATCCGTTTGAGTGTTTTTGCAGAGAAGTCAAGCAGATCCTTCCTCCTCCCTGGGACACACAATCAGCTATAAGGACTCAACATTTATCTAGTATCAGAACATGATTTTGCACTTCACAGAGCTGTTAATACCCAAATCTTACCATTCCCAGCCAACAGCAGCAGCTGGGACTTCAGAAATAAGAAGGTAAACGCTGCGGGTGGAAGCCTGGCTTTGAAAATCTTTGCAGGAAACAACATGAATTTTAAAAGGCATGTTTTGCAAGAAATGTGTTAGGTTTAGCAAATGATGCTCGGATCCTTTTGCTCAATCCCCTTATTTGCTTAGAAGCACAGTGCTAAGTAGTGCCAGAACCTTAGCAAAAAACAATCATAACAGTCCACCAAAAAGCATCCTAGGAAATGACCCTACTGACAATACAGCAGCTGGAAGGCAAAAAAATGAGGTACATGTAATTCTAGGTTCAGAGGAGCATATAGAATTAGAGAGCCCATTAAGGGCTACAGACAGCCTAATCAAAGACTTATACCACAAGCACTGCACAGTTAAGCGGGGTGTGGAGGAAGTGGTTCTGAGCACATGAAAGAAGCCTGGCAGTTTTGAGACACAGGTAACCAAATAGTAGTACCACATATCCCAGCTACACACTGTAACAAAGCCCACAGCCCAATTTCTTTCAATTGTTCTCCACTCCTCCTCCGGATTTAAGTCCACTCAAAGCAGGGTAAGCCCGTGCGATAGACCTGAAAGAAAGCAGGAGCAGGAAATATCAATGACTAGACGTCTCTCAGCTCCACAGAAAGCTTCCTTACGAGTAAAGCCAGCTGCCAGGTCAGCCTCCACGAGCTCAGCTGGCCAGGGCGCACTGTGTGAAGGAGCTACATGTACTGCTGTGACAAGCTGCCCTGCGTTTTCCGAGACCAACCACAGCCACCTCATTGGTGAGTCTTTTTGCAGGCTGGGCGATGCATCTGCCTTGCTTTGAACACAGGAACTGCTCTGTTTCCCTGGGGAACAGGGCAAGGAACGGCTATTTCTGGAGAACACACAGCCCACAGATTCCCAGGGCTGTTTATGGTGATTAATTCCCTGTTTGTTTATGGTACACTCTCAGATAGTGAGAATGGGCAAAGGTGAGAGAAGCACAAGTCTTTCCTTCCTTTCCCAGTAACTTTCAGCACTATTTTCAAATTTCTATTCCACCAGCAACTGGGGAGATCAACCACATACTCACTAGGGCAGCACAGCAGCTAGGAGCAGCAGTCTGCCTGCAGAGCAGAAAGGTCACTTTTGTTTTCAAGACCTGAAAACTGCATGTGACACATAAGACACAGTATTTGCAGTGCTGTGACTCAAAAGCAGACTCTGAGTGAAAAGCAGAGGCAAAAGTGTCTCTGTGACCATACGAATAGCTGGAACTACAAAGGGTAGGTTGGGAGCTACGATTTAAAATGAAGAGCAGCTTCTCAATCAAATCATCTATTCTTCACCAATGGGCAATCCAACACCAACCCCATGCCCTGCCACCAACGTTAAGCACTTCTACAGCACACATGACCTGGACTTTGCTCTCAGCATGGCCTGGGGCCCAGCTCAGTGATTCCTCTACACTGCAGCCTGCAGAACACAAGGCTTCATCTCCTGCTGCTTCGTCTTCTCCCAGCACACATTTCAGGAGGACATAGCAAACTGACAGCAGCTTTCTGTGATAATCTGCGTTTCTTTTGCCACTACCTCCACTGTTTATTCTCTCACAAAGCTGGATGTCGGAATCACATTCTTTCTCTCTTTCTGCTGTGAGACTCTTCACATGGGGAGGGACCTGGGCTGGTGTTGCATTTTCTGGAAACTGAATACCTGGTGACTGAGAAGGCAACTCAGAATTTAGCAGCTTCCAGTTATTCCAGTGCCTGTTACACGAGGGCCCGGGGACATTGCCCAGTGGTGGCACATACCTTCAGTATTTTCACACTGCACCAAAAGCTTCTGACTGACATTTGAGTGACGGATGCCACTGCAAAATGCCACAGGAAGAGGAGGGATCTTGAAAACAATCCCTCATTTCATGATCTGCACTGAGTAGGAAGGCCTCCATCCCAAATTCACCCCTGAAGGAAGCCCCAGAACTACTATTACCCATTCTTTTAAGCTCTGATTCTGACACCTCTAAAATGGTGTCTGCTGGATCAACTCCTGAACAGTCTGTCTGCTCTTCCTTCAAAAGCCAAACCAACTTCCTCCACCTACCAATGAGCCAACCACATTAAAATGACAAAAAGCAGGGGTTTTGAAGGATGGGTGGGAGATTCCCTTGGCTAGAGAAACTAAAATAAGCGATTTCCTTCGCAGAGTCAGGTCTAACAAGGCTTTTCTGAAATTCAAGGAGGGAAAACGAAATAGGAGAGGTTGATCTGGAAAGCACCAAGAAAAGAAAAATCAAACCTGAAGTTGCAGTGGCTTCCCCACACCGTGCCAGTGCTGTGGCCAATACGTGGGACATTTGTAGCCCTGCCCAGCCCATGGGCAGAGCAGATAAACCCCAAAAGCACAGCACCCCAGGGTCTGTTCCAGCCTTACCTGTCAGCACAGACGACCGGGCACTCACATCTGCGCATGTTTCTTGTTGCTGGCTTAAGTTACCTAAAAGAGTTGGATTGGAAATAAAAAACAGTTACCGCAAGCATCCTGCTCTTGAAATCTGGGGTGCTGCTGGCCAAAGTCAAAGGGCAAGCAGCTCACAACACACACACTGGCACAAACCAAGACTCAGTATAAGGGCTGACGCAACACAGCCAGGTTTCAGGCTACCCATCTGATCTTTTCCTTTCAGCTTTCTCCAAAACACAGTTATCCTCTGCTTTTAAGGGAGGAGTGAAACAACTTTTCTCTGTAATATATACAAACTCAGAGCGTGGGTGGCATTGGCTGATCTAAAACCACACTGCAGCCAAAAAGGGAAGCCCTACTCTTCCACCTTCCTGCAAAGGAGGAGTTTCTGTGATGAAACCGTTGGCAGAGTTAGTTAGCAGCCCAGTCAAGGGCCTTTTCTGACTCACTGCGCAGCTCAAGCTGCCACAAAACCCCACTCAGCACAGCCAGCCCCACAGATGACATTCACAAAGCTTCAGAGGGAAATCCTGCTAAAGCCAAATAGAAGCCCGCATGCCACCAGGACTGTTCTGTTCAGATAAACTGATGCCTGAAGGCATCGCTCTCCAAAATCAGATGGGAAGCCTTCATACATTTAATTCCTTTTGCTGCCATTTCCAGCGTTTCCCAGCTGGGAGTGCAGGTCGGCACTCTGGTATTTCTAGCTCTAGCATCAGCACAAAGGAACAAACGACGAGGCTCTAAATGGGCACATGTGCTGTGCCACAGCCTCACACAAAATCTGTTCAATAGCTCAAATACCCCAACTCTTGCCCTGTGTGCCATGTAAAGAAAAGCAAGCCAGTTCTGGTGCTGGAAGACTCGATCCCGCTATCTCTCCACCACTCATCCCAAGTACTGCTTGGGCTGCAGCTCAGGCTGGTTTTAGCCCGGATCAGTCCTCCAGTCTTGCTCACCATGCAGACATAAACTCTTTTCCCTTGGAGTCACTTTAGCTAAGGCAATCTAATGGTTAATCTTGCCTAACCTGAGACTGCTTCGCTACTCTGAAGTGTGGTCCCATGTCATCCTCCTCCCAAGCACAAACTCCTGCCCTTGGGACAGCCCTTGCAACCACACAGCTAGGGATAAGGTCAGGATTAACTGAAAGCCACTGGGTGAGCAAAACCAAAAGCAATTCACCTTCAGAAGGATCAATGGTGCTAAATTGCTAATACTACAGGTAAACCAGCATAAGCCAACTCCAAAACCTTAAGAGACATCTCCTTTTATGATATGCCACAGCATTAAAAGGCTGAAATTTGTTTCAGCTTCAGCCCTAAGAGAAAGCCCGCATCAGTCCTTGCTTGCTGTGGCTTTATCTGGTCTTTCCCCTGTTTATCCCTACAAAAATAACTGCTGCTGCAGCTGGTTACCAGGCTGCATCCATCCGACTGATGCAAGTAACAAGAAGTTACTGCAGGTAGATGTGGAAGACAATACCGCTGAGATGGACTCCTCGTGTAAGAGCTCCGTCAAAGTATGATGTTAACAGAAAAGAATTAATAACCAGATAAAGTAACCCAGTAAGGAAGAGGCGCAGCTTAGCTGGTGCAACAGGCTTTCATACAAGACAGCATGTGCACACTGTGTGTATTGCCTAGAACATAACACACAGTGTATTGACCGCACTTTTTAATCAATCATGATTTTCTCTAAAGCCACTGCCTCCAACTGTTAATGAGAGATATGAGGAAGCGCTTTTCTTGTGGTGTGGGTACTTTAAGACTTCTGTATTTCTTGACTTTCTAGATCAGGAAAATAAAAAATAGCAATTAAAATCCGTGGAACAAAAAGGTAGTTTGTTGGTTTTTTCTCTTCACATAAATCTACCAAAAAATTTCATCTCAGCTTTACTGAGGCGGGTATGGACAATTTTTGTTGGTTTTGGTTTCTTATGTCTCATTTTTTTACCTCAACTTACACTTCTAAGCCAAAAGTTGTGCCTCCAAGAAAAAAATGCCACAAAAAAATTCAGCAGTTTCAAAACCTTCCTTCAAGAAATCCGGAAGGGAAAACTTGGCAAAATAAACTTTCTCACCAAGAAATACAGTCTGAAGCTAAATTTTATGATTAAGAAAATCATTGCCATCGAGAAACTCCTGAGCTACTATTGCATCATTGTTTTCTCTCTCACAGCTATCATGACACTTTCCACTCTCACAAGTAACTGGTAATCCCTACAGCACAGCACACGACACCTTTTTCCCCACATTTCAAATAGACTTATCTAGCATCTCAGGAACACTACTTTTTTCTCTGGGCAAAGTGACTTTGCCCTTGGGGACACTTCCAATTCTGGAATGCAGATGACAGGACCACCCGTTTCCCACAAGGTCCACAGAACCCTCCATCCTCAAATCGGGCCAAGTCTTACTGAAAGAGACAAGAAAGTGCCCACCAACACCTGCAAGGTGTAGCACAACTGGTGAAAAAGCACGTCTGAAAATGTGAACCACTGTCGGCTGTTTGCCGACAATAACTATTTTTGGAGGGACTGATCTTATTCCAGAGATTATGGTGAAAGACAGACAGGGGGAACCAGAAGGAAAGGCAGATCATTTTTTAAACCAAGTGACTTGGTTAAAAAGGCTTGTAGCTGCCTGGACACCACAGAGGGGAGTGCCACCTCTCACTGACGAGGTCCTGACCACGCAAGTGAGGGTACTAGTGGTCTCACTGCCTAGACTGGTCTGTTGGCTAGGGACGGCCAAGGCGTTGGCTGTGTTTGGAGACGGTCGAGGAAGCTGGCCCGATCTCCATTACCTTCTCCCGTAGAACTTATAAGCAGTATCTCCAGATCCAGGGGGAGGTCACACTCCATGCAGACATGCTGTGCAAACTGTTTCCAGGTGGCAGGGCCAGCCTTCTCCAGCAGGTTAAGGAGCACTGAGACTTTTTCTTTTTGGTCGGTGATGCCATCCAGGCCATTCAGGGCCACGCTTGGGAGGAAGCGCCGGGAGGTCGTGAGCAGCCAGTCGGGGCGGTAACTGAGGAACTCCACTAGCTGGGGGCGGGCGCTTCCTATGGCTGCTTCCAGGTCTAGATCATCATTCTGAAACGGGGGCTAGAGGGATGAAACCGGAAGGGTAGCGATGGGCAGAGGAGCGAGAGCTGTTCACTCACACTGCCCTGCTGACAAGCAGGCAGGACAGCCCTTCATGACTCTCATCTGCTTTTCTACCCCTTGGTCCAACCCAGCATTTCGTACCTGCCTTATGCTCACCATGTCGTGTGGCAAACCCCAGCCCAGCCATTACATGGTGCAAAGGCTGCAGTGCTTGTCTGCACAGGGCCCAACGCAGCAGTACTGCAAGGGACAGGAGCGAACAACAGGCATCAGGCTCTCTGGCATCAGCCAGGGAGAAGCTCCACTGATGTCTGTATTGCTGCGGTGGCCATCTGCCAGATGTAACATCTCGGGCATCTTTCATATGCAGGAGGACCTCTGGGGAGGCATGGGACTCCCAAGAGCAACATATTTCCCTGCACAAAGGGCTGAGGCACCTGTTCTTGCTGCTCGTTCTGTGGTGATAAGCAACTCATTTCTGCTTTGGTGACAATGTCACCCTCCACTTCCACTTCCTTCCCACAGCAAAGCCATCCACATACGGTCTCCTACCTGCATTGTTGTGTGGTCAGACTCCTTTCAGTTGTCAAATGCAAAGTTGGCTTCTGCTCCATACCCTGACGAAGAACTGATCTGCTAGCGGCAGTGTTTCAGCACACAGTGACACCCCAATGCATGGCGCATGCCTACATCCAGTTGCCTCACTTGGTACAGATACCTAGGGATAAAAACAACAGAGCACGATGTAGATATGAAAGAGCATGGGCAATTACATGGATCACAGATCTAGAAGCTCTGCCTTTGATTGCAGGGTCAGCTGTGGAGCTTTTCATCTCTAGGTAACAATGTCAACTCAATCCAGCAGTGACCACAAAATCTGAGGATCCACTACTGGTGTGATGAAAATGCAGGACTGAGCCTTGTGCCCTAAGATGCAAGTGAAGACGGGCTTTATAGGAACACTTCAGGAATCACAGCTTTCCTGGTGTCGCTGCCTGACTTGAGTTGGTCTTCTATGACAACCTGCTGCTCTTTGCACCTCCATGGAAGCTGATGCTGAAGTAGCAGCAGCTTGCTCAAGTCAGGCACAGTCACACCAGAAGAACTGTGAAAGGCTAATACCTTGAGGCTACACAGTGCTCACAGGAGTTTCATGTGCTGCAAATGCCACCGGTGCCAGTGCCAGCCGCTCCACTTCTCAGCAGAGATGGCAAAGCGAAATTTCTCCCCACGCTGCAGCTGGAACTGGCTGGTGTGCAACCATTCCTACCGCAGGTAAAGGGATAAGGAAAGTGATTGCCTTCCTGCACACCTCCAAACATCCTGTAGCAGGGCCCCAGCCAGGCTACAGCAGTGTCAGGACTGTGCTATCTCCAGCAGACAGCTGTCTACATTGATGTTGAAAGCCATCTCCAACTACAACCTCCATCATCATGTTTGGTATGTCTATTGTCACCTATGTGGACTTCTGTAAGGCCTTTGACACGGATGTTGTAGGGACTGAAAAAAAACCTTAAGAGACATCTGAAAAGTTAGATGAAAGCTCAGGTGATACTGCACAGCTCCTATACTACTACTACTCTGCTAAATAAGACCATCAGAAATAATGGGCAGCAACCTACAGTAAAATGCCTCTGAGCTCAAAACAAAGCACAAAAACCTCCCAAGAAGAGCCAGAAAACTTTTGAGCCTTGACCCTTGCCCTCGCCCTTCAAATGTACAAACTCCATTAAAACACACCACAAAAATACGCCTCGCCTCCCCTACTTGGCATTCACGCCATTCCCAGCCACGAAAAATAAAACCGAAACGTGAAGCTCCCTGTTGCAAATCTACCAACTTCTTGCACTCTCTGAGAAGCTCATGCTACTTACTGAAAGCCCAGAAGCAGAGCAGCAGCAACAAAACCAAAGTGGGGGTCACGAAACAAAGGAGCTGGGGCACAGCGTCCGCTGCCCTGATTTCTTCACTTGCTAACCCACCGTTCTCCCGAAGCGCACAGCCCTCCGATGTTTTTTGGGACCCGATGAGCAAAAGACAGAGCAAAATGAAAGTAAAAACAGCTAGGAATTCCCCAACTGCAACTCATCTATGGTAGAACCAGTGAGATGAGCAAAAACACACAGTCAGAACAGCAGAAGAGTGTTTTCCTATTCTAAAATCTACAGATATATCTATTATTATCTATTATCTATAGATAATTTAGGTAAAGCTTTTGGGGAGTGGTTCAAAGAAATGGGACTCAGGGTAAACACTCTCACTGGAGTAAGCTCTGACTTGGTTGTGGTTAAGGCTCTTGCAATGGGAATCTTTTTATTTATATGCCTGGGTTTGACTATTCTGGAGCACAAGGAAATATTTATTTACCATTTCCATTATATCTAACAGAAAAAGGTGATCTGCCTTTCCTCTGGAACAGGGACAAGATTTAAGTGCGAATGTAGTAGATGTGAATGATTTGAGGAAAAAATCACAGGTTTCTAGATAGAACTGTGTGCACGGAGTTCTCCAGATCTAGCCAGACAGGGTGCAACATACAATGAAATATTATTAATATTTTTCTAGATGTCAGAGAAGCTACGTTGGAAAACCACATGCAGACGAGTCCCAGACAAGGCCAGATGGCACACAGCGCTCTTTCAAAATTCATTTATCAGAATAAAATAAAAAAAAATAACCAAGTCCAGCCATACCGCATCTCTGGACAGAAATGGTTGCTCTGGTGGTCCTGCCTCGAGCACAGCGCAGGGGATGGGAAGAGCTCTGAGAACCGGGGGCGGATGGAAGGGACCATGGGTGGCGAGGAGCAGCTGGGGAGGCGACCCGCAGCACCCACC